TGTCAAAACTGATTTGTGGCCGACGGGCCGAGCCGCACTCTGGTCACTAAAGAGCCGCATGAGACTTGCAAGCCGCGATGTGCCGACCACTGGGCTAGGTCATTAATAAATATGTTTCTACACAACATCAGAGCCTCTGATTAGAGGAAAAAGTGTGTGTGTGTGTGTGTGTGTAGGGATGCGGTTGGCGGTGGGGGGGGGGGGGGGTTGGAGACTCACACTTCAGCCCGAGCTTCACATCCACGAGGGCGTTCATGCTTGCTGAATGTTAAAACATTTAATGGTCCTCGTTCGTTGCAATACGTTTGGCTGACAATGTCATCGATGATCCGGTCAATTTCAACAGTGGGCACTTTTCTCAGGGATCGATGATCCGGTCAATTTCAACAGTGGGCACTTTTCTCAGGGTAGTATTTTTTCCCCCCTCCAAATCATCGATTAATTTCAATTTAATTTAATTATTTGTCCTTTGCTGCGTCAATTAACTGACGCGAATGACGCTTTGGTGATGATCGAGACAAGAAACATGAACACCAGGGTCACTGTTGGTTGATACCTGGGGTGAAATCATGGGAAATGGCCTTGGTGACGTCAATGTAATTAGGCTGAAACAAGAGGGGGAGGGGGGGGGCTCGAAACTGTCAAGAGCGCCCCTGGCCTCGTTACAAGTCATAAGACGCATGCTCGCAATTCATGACCACGATTATTCAAGACGGAGAAGGCATTGTGAGCGGAGTGTGCGAGCATCAAGAAATTTGAGGCACTTGATCCTGTGATGATTAATTAAAAATAATTGTTCTTATTAATTGGCTGACAACAAGAACTGAAAATGTAACGTGCATCGGGAAAAATCATGACTAAAAATCAGTAGTATAAAAATCAAACTAATGATAAGTAGTATAAAAATTAAACTAATGATCAGTAGTATAAAAAATCAAACTAATTATCAGTATTATAAAAATTAAACTAATGATCAGAAGTATAAAAATCGAACTAATTATCAGTAGTATAAAAATTAAACTAATGATCAGTAGTATAAAAAATCAAACTAATTATCAGTATTATAAAAATTAAACTAAGGATCAGAAGTATAAAAATCGAACTAATGGTCAGTAGTATAAAAAAAAAACCCTCAATCGGACGCCATATGGCGATTTCATCTACAATTTGATAAAAAAACATGGCAGATTTTTTCCCTTCTATTTACATGTAATATCTTACTTACTTACTTATGCCTTTTACACCGTCTGGGACATTAGCCGTCTACGAGTGTAATACCAGATGATAATAAATTTAAAAAAAAGAAAAGACTGCACTTCGGTTGATGTTACGCACCATTAGCTATACAATGAGTTACGTACCATTAGCTCTGAAATGAATGGCATGACCATCCCTGGCTGATCAATTCTTATTCTCTTTAACATTTTCTCGGATTTTCTACGCAATGTGAAGAGCTTTGCCTTGCGCCGTTGAATGATTAATTTGAAGATGAACGGTTTGGAGTCGGGCGCATCGGTCGTTGAGAGACAATCGTTACTTCCAATACATTTACCGACGAGTTGCCGAGAGGTTGTCAAATCAGAATTATCCACAGACAAAAAAAAAAAAACAATTCAAAAGAAGATTTGCAAGCTCTTATTTGATAAATTCACGAGACTGCGGAAGACTTATTTCGTAACTCAAAAAAGATAAAAAAAAATAAAAAAAAGGATAAAGTCTCAGTGAAGCTAAACTCGAGCAAATCGCTGCTTTTCAGCAAACTCGCCCGTCAGACCCGGCTGCCAACCGACGGGATATTCCCCGCAAATCGTTCGCATACGAGACCAGCAGTTTTCACAGTGATTTCTTCCACGCTATAAGCTGAAGTCTGCGTCTTATTCTGGGAATGCAAAACGTCGCTTCTCTTTCACATCCAATAGAGAAGCGTCTTTTGGAATTCCACCGTTTCACATATAAGTATAAATATTCCCTTCCCATAGAACATGTGCTGAAAGAGTTATGGCATCAATGTTCTTCATATCGGTTTTAGGCAACATCTCATAGTTTGAAATGTAATCTTGCCATTTTCTATCCGCTGCAGCCGAAACGAATCGCTGGTGACACCACTGAGGCATCTTCAATTGGCACTTACACATAAACCCCCGTCCCTCATTCCATGGACTTGCGTGATGATAACTATATTTCTTTAGAGCAATATTTTATTGGAATGTCGCAAGGAGTGATTTTTGCGACTCGCACGTATCCAAGCGTACACAAATAACCACTGGAGTTGCCAGATGCCCGTGCATGTCTTTTTGCAACATGGCGTAACCCCGAGACGATGATGCTCCATAAGTATGTAAACTAATCAACTGCGTAGGAACGGGGGGGGGGGCTATTGATACTGACTTTGGAGGGGCTAAGTATCTACCAGGCTCTTTTGTTTTTCTTTAACTTTATGTTGATACCAAATGCTTCAGCAGTCTGCGCAAAAGGATCCACCACGCTTCAATTCTCCGCTTCGCTCCAAGAAAGGCACCAAAAGCCATAACAAAAATTGGTATTCCATTATCTTAGTCTCCTGGTTCTGTGATGGTTGAACTTCCTGTAATCTTTGGTGTTTTTTTTTTAAAAAACAACAACTTCCGGTATTAACATGAATGGCCGAACATTTCAGTGTTTGAACGACTTTCTCTTTCTTGTCGTTTCATCATTTGTCTCGTCTGCTTAGGAAGACTCATAGACGAAACCGTTCTTCTTTTTCCAATAACAGGAACTACATGATCGTCATATCAAGAGCTAAATCGTCGGACAAGCTTCAATTACGTTTTACCTGCATTTCTGATTGTCCCGACGCTTCTGCAGTACAGAAGGCAAATCTGGTGAGCTTTTGGTGAGACAACTGTGGTGAGTTTTGGTAAGACAGCTTTGGTGAGTTTTGGTAAGACCAATTTGGTGAGTATTTTAGTGAGGCGACTTTGTTGAGCTTTAGTAAGGACGATGAACGCTGCATACAAATTCATGTCTTGCTTTCCCCCCAAGCACTTGTCTTGGATCGGTTGGCGGAAAGACAATATCATGTCAGTGGTTTC